ACCTTAATGAGAGGGATGATGAACTGGAAATAATGATGATGATGATGATGATGATGATGATGATGATGATGATGATGATGAACCCCTACCTGCTTATCCTTCCAATCTCTAAGATTCCTTTCAGTTTTATATGAACTATAGTGGTTAAGGTATTTAACTAGGGATAGAGAGGCCCAAGTTCTAAGCTTTCCTCAGCCTTGGAACCTCACTGGATGACTTTGGGCCCACCATTCGCTGTCAGCCCAGAGTGTCTCCCAGGATTATTGTGGTGAGGAGAAATAAAAGGAGCGAGCGCTACGTGTTCCTTACAGATATTATCTTGCTTTCCAGGATGTAAGAAATATCCCATCCCTTTTGATTTACACAATAGATAGAAACAATTTTCATTATCACTCTGAATGGAAAATTGAATATTAATAATAATTAATGTAATTTACAAAATGTCATCTCATTCTAAGACTCCGTTGAGTAAAGACAATCAACAAACCAAATAATGAAAAGCACTTTTTATAAACCTATATATGTCTTAAAATCTGAACTAATAACTAATAAGTTAATTTTAATTTTTCTTACTCTACTTTGATTTAAGGATTCAGAATTTCCTGAAGGTATCCAAGTAAATCCATACCTTGCTTGTGCAAAAAAATGTGTGCGGCCATTGAAGTCTGGAGTATATAAACTGTGCAACACGTTGAAAGTTCATGATTTGGCAGTGACCTGGTAGGAGTTCTTAAACGTTTCTTAATGATTTCATGTTATTATTTAGCATTATAGATAAATATTTGCTTATTATTGGTTAGCTACCTATCTCAATACAAGGATTTACATACATGATTTTTATAACAATGTTACATTAGGCAAAGTAACCTTGAAGAAATTATGCCGTCTGAAATCAATTTAAACAGTAAAGCGGTATTCTCCTTGCAGTTGAGAATATAGAGGATGAATGTTGGAACATAGGTCTTGAAAATAGGAAGCCTTTTGTTTCTTTTGCAAAAGATTCTATCTTCTTTAAAATGTAAAGCATATGTCTCTCTCAGTAATGACAATATTTGACATTTAATCACTTCTCTAATTTATAAATTACAATTACTTTGTAATTTATCACATCAGATTTCTACAGTTCAGATTAAGAGAAAGTTTAATAGAGTTTCTTTGTCTTTCTTTGTCTACTGACTCACAATTTCTTTCTTAATGCCTTCAAAATCGTTTGTACTTGAAGGAAATAATTAAAAAAAGTTAGGTGCTTGGGAGGGAGCACTGTGCTTGTTGCCTGGAATTGCTGAATGAAAGACAAGATGGAAATCGTGTAAATAATATAAATGTGAATTTAAAAGAAAAGGTCTACACAATAGTATCATTTTATTTTGTCAGCTTTTCGCATTACCATTACCATTAAGGAACCTGGGAAAAAGGGGCTGTTTTAGCTATCAAAACTAGACTAAACAGAGAGTAGCTAGATCCTGTGGCAGTTGCTCTGATCAATCTTT